AGAGGAAAAAAAAAAAAGGTGGTTTGGCGCGCACACATAGGCTGTTGTCGTGTAGTACGGCCACCATGGCCCGATCCTCTCATCATCAGGAGAACCAGTTCACACGTACTTTTTGCTTCCATACGAAGTATCTATCTAATAGACCAGGTAAAACAATTTATTGCCAAAATATCGCCACCTGCACTATGATTTTTGATATAAAATGTTAGAAGAGATAGAGAAAGTCTTGGTTGAGAAGGCCTTTTATATATATAGATATATAAAGAGAAAACGCCTAAATATTCAAAATACTAAAAAATGTCATTAATTAATGAAATCTTAACAAATGAAACTATTTATTAAATGGCTTGGAAAAAAACAAATAAAAACTATTTATTAAATGAGGATAATAAAGTAACATTTTAAAAAGAACATGGGTCCTATTTTCACGACACATATCTAGACCTATTTTATCTATGGAAATATTTTTGCTCACAACTTTAACTCAAGTTGTATACTTATTACCCTTTTTAATACTTGACACATGTACATAGTCATAAATATGATTAAATTTTTGCTTTGATTTATATAACAATTGTTATACTTATGGACAAGTGTCAAGTGTTGAGAAGGGTGGTGAGTATACACTTTTGGTTAAAGTGGTGAATAAAAATGCTCCATTTATCTTTTACAATTCTAATATAAAAAAACATTAAAAAAATAATTAAAAAACCAATTGGTACATGAGTGGGGCAAGTCTTAATAATAGTATGGATAGATGCATATGTGAAATTTTGTTTGTTAGTCAGGATAGTGTGCAAGTCCTCTTACATCAGATTGGAACAACATTCTTGTAAATTAATGGCATTCGTACCACTTTTAGGGCTGGTTTGGGACTACTTATTTAGAAAACACTTTTGCTCATAAACGTTTTTATTATAAAGATTTTGAAATTTTTAAAAAGAAATCCAAGTGTTTCATGGAAAAGCACTTGGGAGTGCTTCCTGAATAAGCACAGTTATGTGCTTCTCCATAAAGCGCTTCTATAGTCCAAAATCACTCCTAGAAATTTATACCAAATGATGCCAGAGGCGCTTTTAGTTGTCAAAAATCTCTTTTAGACAACTTACACTAAAGTTCCAATTTATTCCCCTACAGAAATTATCACATAATTTTTTTTGTGTAGAACTATGGGTAAAAGCCCAAAACCAGAGCACAAGAAATTAGCCCAATGGGTTATTACAAACTCACACGACCATCCACCAAAAAAAAAAAAAAGCCCGCTTATTAATGTGTATAAATTAGAATCCATATAAATTAATAATAATAATAAAAATTGTATGGTCTGTTATCCTGGTGTAAAACTCAGAGCTTTACTCGTTGTCAGTGGGCAAGAACCCAAAAATGCAGAGAGCTTCCATTCTCTGTTCTTCAAATTCAATTCCCAGTTTTCCCCTGACCTCTCATAGACTCGTTGCTCCGCTTCAAAGTCGACGTGCTGAATCAGTTTCCTCACCTCTCCGGTTGCCCTTGACTCGTCTGCACAATTACCGCCTTGCCCTCCCTTCTCTGCACAGCACTGGTAACTTACCTGTACTTTAATTATCAAGTGGACTTTTTGTTTCACTTTGAACTCCATGTTGTTGATGGGTTTTGTTTATCTCACTCTTTCGTTTACTAGGTCTGCTTAATTTTTGTTTTCAGTGGCTCAGAGAAGCTAAAAAATGAGCTGAGTTTAGTAAGTTTGAGTCTAAGTTCATAAATTAAGTTGAACCACCAGTAATTATTGTGTTAGATTTTTTTTTTACAAACACATGTATGTATGCATGTATTTTGTGCACGTGATAAGCTTGTGAAGTTGCTTGTTTAGACTCTTAATTTGCCCTCTTAAGGTTTGTGTTTAAGTCTTTGGTGTTGTGTGAGAGTTTACTGGTTTAAGAGACATGCATGATTTTAACTTTGTAACAAGCTTCTATAGTTTCTTGTTTAGGCACTTAAGTTAGCCTCTTAAGAATTGTGTTTAAGTCTTTGATGAAGTGTGAGAGTTTACTGGTTTTAGACACATGCATAATTTTCATGGACCATGGGTAAATTTTCTGAGGGGCTTTGTTTCATGCGATAGGATTGTTCTATTGTTTTAACTTACTTGTTCTTCATAGATTTGTTCTTGGTGTAATTTGCTTCGTGCTTATGCAAGTTGCATAATCTTTCCATGTTTGAGTCTGCGTGTTTTTGTCCCTTTTCTTTGTTCCCTCCAGCA